TCGTGATATTGTGTTAGTTTTGATAAAATTCTGAGGGATTTTGTTCAGGAAGGAGATTTCATATCAAAATTTTCAAATTATGTTGTTATTTTTAAAAATAACATTTTGGAAGGTTGAGAAACAAAAATAAAATTTTAATTAAAGATTTATTGCACTTAAAATTTTATTATTGTGCAAGTTACAAGTTACAAGTATCAGACTGCTATATACTAAACGACTAGAATTCTCAGTCTCTGACTCTAACTGAATAACTTTCGCTTTCAGTTTCAAACTGTTCAAACATGAAGTCTAAATAAAAACTTATATCTATATCATTAGTGCTATCAGAAACAGGTACATAATTGATAACATCTAACATTACAATCACTTTTATAAAAATTTTCCAAAATACAGTTTGAAAAGGTTAAGAAATAAAAAGAAAATTTTAATTAAAGTATTATTGCACGTGAAATTATTATTTCGCAATCAGACTGGTACTAAACTACCAGAAATACCAGAATTCTCAGTCTCTGACTCTGACTCTGATTGTGAGTAACTTTCGCTTTCAGTTTCAAACTGTTCAAACATGAAGTCTAAATCAAAACCTAAATCTATATCATTAGTGCTATCAGAATCAGGTTCATAATTGGTAACATTACAATCATTTTCATATAAATTCTTATTTTTAGCTTTGGGCGGCTTTTCAGGTAATGCGTTTGCGGTAAAACGCAGATTGCATTTGATCGCAACTTGTTTTTGAACTCGTTCATTTGTCAATCTGTTTCTTATCTTTGAATGAACAAAGCCATGAGTTGACCAGTTGCGCTCACAAGCAGCTGAACTAGATGGGACATTAAATAATCGCATAGCAATAGGATAAAGATTTTGATCTGAACAAAATCCTCCCCACCAAGTGGCAGGGCTCACATGAACAGCAGCTTCCCAGATACTTTTGTTAGAAAAAAAACCAGTTTTTGTTCTAAATTCAGCTAAATTTGCCAAGACCAAACTTTTTTTCAAATTCAGGAATTCACATTGCTTACTTATGAATTGAAAAGCTAATTGCTTTTTAGTTAATTCTAAATTCTTTCAAAAATAATTTGGATCCAGTAAATTGGCAGCAAAATGAATATCAGAATTACAATAGTACAGCCTTTCGGCAATAGCTTTATTCACTTTTACTTTCTCGTCATCTGTGAGTATTGAAGAAGCATCAACTGCAAGAGGAACATCAAGACTAAGACGTTTTGTTAGTTGAAATACTTCTGAAAGTATAGTTTTATCACTTTCTACTTTAGATATTGCATTAGAGATTTGAATCAACAATTTGTTTAATTCACTTATAGGCTCCCAAAAACCATCATTGTCCAAAACTAAATCCCGTATCTCTTTTTTAACATCAAGATTTTCTTCAATTACTGTAGCCTGCATTGCTGCTTTGTTGGATCTGATTGAGTATAAAGAAATTACCAAGTAAAACCATCTAGTTTTTGGTGGCAGCTTAAGAGAAATAGCCTTAGACCCATACTTTTCTTTCTGCTGTAAATTGAAAACAGCATTAATAACGTGATGATTCTTGAATTCTTTAATTACCCTTTTTACTTTTTTCTTTATAGACTGAACTCCTGGCTGTTTTATTATATCATTCACAAGCAAATTTAATGAATGTGCACAGCAACCAATTGTCACAATGTGAGGATATTTTTCATTCACCAGATGCCATGCTGCACGCATGTTAGCTGCATTGTCAGTAACGATTAAAAATATAGATTTCACATCCACATCATCTTTGACAAGATCATCTATTATCTTAAATATTTCGCCGGATAAAAACTTAGCTGTTTCCCGCTCTTTACCAGGTGCGACTGATTTCAAAAATATCGGCTCTGGAGTGGATATCATAAAGTTTATTAAATTCTCTCCTCTTATATTTGTCCATCCATCAGTTACGATACTCAAACACGGAGCAGCTTTAATCTTTGATTTTATAGACTGCATAACCTGGTCATATTCAGAATTTAAAAGAAGATTACTTATTTGGTACGCAGATGGAGGTTCATAGGAAGAACGCATAAGAGACATAGCAAACTTCCAATATGGATTTTCAAAGATGGAAAAGGAAACACCATGAAAAGGAACACCAGTAACAAATACTGCCCTAGCCAAAGCCTGGTCAATTTTTGTCTTCATTCTCTCTGTTGTTATTGAAACAAATTTCTTTAAAGTCTCATTAGATTTTGAGGATTTTGAACTGCTTGATACTGAAGGCGTATTGACTGGATCTGATTTAGATGAAGAAGTAGCAACAGAAATGATTGATGTAGAGAGTACGAGGTTGTTGTCCTCGTCATCACTGGTATCGCTTTGAATTCTTAATTTCCTTGTACTTGAATGTTTCTAAAACATAAAAAAGCAATAGAAATATATCATTGTTTTGATCAATTTTTATGATTATACAAAATAAATAAAAGCAGCCGAATAGAGTAAAAAACGCAGGTATCAAAGGGTATAGCCGGTTAAGGTAGGCAAATCTGCCCCCGCATGTATCAGATCCAAATTGGTGTAATAAGTTGATACCCATGTGGTATAAAATTATCCCAAACATTAACCTTGTAATCACATTTTTATAGGAGTTATGGAGGGGGTAAGTAAAATAAAAAAAGTAATTTTTCTCGAAAACGGCTGAATCGATTTTGACGAAAAAAATATATGTTCTGGAGATCAATGAAATAATTGTACAAAAAAATTAAAAAAAATTTTCGACCTTAAAAAAATAAGTAAAAAAATTTTTTTGTTAAAAAATAATTTTTTTTAGGGCAATGTTTTTGA